ACTTATTGTCAAGACAATGAATGAACAGAAAGGACTGGGAAATTAAAAAGATTATATTTCCACAAAGTTATATAAATCTTGCTGCATAAAAAGCTTGGAGACTAGTTATAATATTTTGCAAAAGACTGAGTGATCACGACATCATTTTGGGATGCAATTGAACTTGAACTTCTTTGCGTAACTTACTGCGCGGCGATGGTGATATCAAGTGTGTGTTGACCTAAGTTTGACCCCCAAGTCACGCACTGAACAGGCGCGTTACCTTAGCAATCTTTTTCTTTCATGCTCCGTGCGTCGATTTTGTAAAATTGTTATTAGTTCTGACGGTGCTGTACGCAAACTTGTATATTTTGAGTTCGTTTACTTAGTGCGCTGCTTTTCTAATTACGCAAATTTGTTTACAATGTTGCACCGGCTCTAAAAATTTCAACATTGTAATATATCGCTTTCATAATAATTACGCAAAGTCAGTTATTTAATATTGGACACAAGTGAAGTTTCGTCCGCGATTGATACAATGTGGTATAGATTTGAAGAGTAGTTCGGAATTTAAAAATAGTTAGTACCCGTTGTATCCCCAAACTGTACCACTCAAAACCACTATTTCGATCACTCCTGTGCCAGTGACCAGTGTTTGGGCGACCGGTCGGTGTTTTCAATGGGTCGGTGAAAGAAAAATTACGATAAAAATGCAGTTGTTTTCCGGTCGGAAAAAACAGTGCGGTCGGAAATTAAGCGATAAGCGGTCGATTTAAGGGATGACGTCAAAAGATCGATGTCGGATAAAAAACTTAATTCCTTTAGTTTTTTTACAAACCCCCTTACCCCCCACTGAAACTTAATTGATAAATATTGGTCATGGCGTCAGACTACATTCACCATTAAATACAAATTGAAAATCGGACAGTAGTATTGCATAGCAGTTGGTTGTCGGGTGGGTGTAAAACGATTTTACAAATGCACCTCATTTGACGCACAAATTTACACTCGAACCAAAGCATTTTTCCCCTTTTCGGTTATTTCTGTCCAGGATTAAATAGAAAAAAAACGAACTACAAATACTCCAAGATTTGTTTGCCTTCATTAAAAAATAAAATCGTTTTTGTAGGATGAAAACTTTTTGAGGTCACCCCCCCCACCCCCAAACTAAAGGAAATAAGTTTTTTATCCGACATCGATCTTTTGACGTCGTCCCTAAAGTGGGAAGTTGGGCGAAATGAATACTGTAGTTCAAGTGATATTAGCGTATTTCTAATTTAGTTTTTAACTCAAACAATATTTATTTACTCACTGTTTACTATAGCTAGAGCGTTGTACGTGTCTTCATTTTCAGGTTAGTTTTTCTGCCGATTTCTCGCAACCAACAAATAATGTGATTTTGTATTTGGGATTTCGAGAAACTTAACATGAATCGTTATGGCATTCATACGCACAACATTTCGCCATGTTTCAACTTTTAAGTAGTCAGTTAACAAGGTCTTTCATAGTAGCATTTCTATGGGATTGACATACTAGCATGGATGAGTTCAATTATCATTGTTCACTGATGACGTCATTTGACTGCCCTCTAGAGGCGAAATGACGCCGGGAAAAGCGGACGTTTGTCGTCTGCTTCACAGCCCGTTTTATACCCGATATTTAGGGCATTTCGCAGCACATACAAGTTGTTTTTATCGACAGAATTCATTCATAGATCTCACATGTCATGTACAGAGTGTCAAAAGCCTCACTTCTGCTCCCCTTTAAACATAAATGTCAGCCGATGTGATATTATGTAGTTATTGGAGCTCAAATAACCACATAAAGTTTACATAACTTTCTTTAAAGTAACATTAAATTATTTGTTATGTATACAAAGGCATTGTGGTGTCGAAAATCCAAGTTGGACACATATTAACATTTTCGTCAAGTTTATGAACCACACTCTCTCTAATTGGCAAACAAGTCCATTTTGCGGCCTGGCAGCATCATCCGATCTTCCTGGGTTGCGATTGTTTGTTGTAACGTTCATGGCGATACAAGCAAAGGTGAGTACACATGTACATCCATGTATTTATTTATTGAAAATATATATTGTATTTGAATCACAACATTACACCCGCATTTCAGATGTAAATATCATTTCAATTTTAGACCCAATCTCGTCATAGAAAACAGATCGCTGCTGTTCATATAGAGGATTGTATGTTGTTCATTAGTTTGTCTATTTTCGACTTCTCAATTGCTCAGCTCAATTTCTATGATACTTGATTTGTACATACTATTGGTGGCCCTCAATTCTGTGATAATATTTACAATACTTCATTTTTAAAGAATATTATAATTTTTGGTGTTAATACTTAGTATGCAGGTATATTGGATGGACATTTATTTGCTTTTTTGTGATAACATCTTCAACTTTCTGATTTCAATGAATATTGTTGGCATTGGTCATTTTCTCTTGAAAATGATCACCTCAATTTTTTTGATATATGATATGTATGTACCTTGGTTTTAAATCTATTTGAATAATCTATTTTGCGTTAATATCTTGTGATATTTGTCATTTTTAAAACAAAATTGCTATTTTCGACTTATTAAAATAACTACTTGCTTTGATACATGGTGGTAGGTAATATTTATAGACCTGAGAATGAGAGTTTTAATGCTTAATTGTTGACGAATATATTTGTAACATTTGAAAAAAATAGACTTCTGCCACATTTGTTTATTTCGTGATGGTATCATTTTTAAAGAATGTATTTTTGTCATTTTTATTAAAAAGTTTCATTTTTGACTTTCCTTTGTTGTGATATTTGCTATGTCTGGGGACCTCTGATTTCGTGAAGATATATTCAATTTACTATTTTGGCAAATATTTGTGTAACCTTTGGTAAAAAATGTTATTTTTGTCTTCTTCCAGCTCAGTTACTTTGATACTTAGCTCTGGCGGATCCAGAAATGTGATAATTAATGCTTACTACAATGAAAGCAGAAACCTTGCTCTTGCAATATCTATATCAGTCCTAATTTCTTGTATTACAATTACATCGACCAGTAAAATTACCACGTTACACCTCAATTAAAAATACTTAATTCTGATGCCTCCAGGCGCTTACGCTAGGTAGCCAGGATCGATACGTGTTCTAACCGTTTACTCAAACAAGACACACATAGCCTCAATTCGTGTTAACCTTCCTCGTCTCAGCGCCACGTGAAGTGTGCCTAAGACCACTTTATTCCTTTTCAAACCTTAGCCAACTACATAGAAGTCTTAAACATATAGCATATAGCCAATCACACGAAGTACTTAACATGCCATAACTATTAGATTAATTATCCCTATATTGGGAAACTACACATATCAATATCGTTAGCTTATACTTTTGGGCGCAAACAGTACTAAAATAACATTTATATCCAATCATTGACTACCGTCTAGCACGTTGTATGAACCTACATGTTTACAGGATATGGGCAAGTGTTATAAGTGTTAAATAACATCAACCAGCTTTTCACTGGAAACCTGCTATCGAGTAATAATCAGTAAATGTCGTTATAATTACCGAACTTATGTCCAAGTACATGGAGATATAAAATATGATAGTACTACCAATCAAAATTAGAATTAACCGTACCCTCATTATTCAGTCATTGCGAAACTAGTATCGACACTACTCATTAATAGTACTATATAATGTGGATATTTTTTTAGTGTAAAGATAGTTTAGGGGTGTTACAGACCCAAAAGCCAAACTATAGCAACCACAGCTATGCTGGCATATATTACTGAAATTATCATCCCTTCTATATACTTCGAGTGGAATTTATTTTCAAACCCGAGGCAGATATACAGAAATGAGTGTGTAATGATGTACAGTATATTTTGGTGTATTTTTCTTGTTTCAATAGAATTATGCAAGTCGTGGAATGCAACTATCCGATGAAAGTTTTCAAGCAGGTCAAGAACAAGACAAAGATCTACAATGTTTTCAACTGAAACAAAAATGGGAGAGCAGGTTAGTACATTTTTCTACAACACAATGAAGTCAAAAGATTAAACTACAAATAACATATCAAGGGCGATGTCAAGGTCTTCCACGATATGTCATGCGGATATGATTGTTTTATTCAATATGACACTAGAGAATGCAAGTGTTAGATATATTATTGGAATTTGAGCAACTTTCAAAATGGCGAGTTTTGACCCGAAGAGACTTTGCCCAATATTACATGTACCAGAACAGTTGAGTTGGCTGCATTTTGGAACATTTTTGAGATAATATGACAAAAGCCCGAACCCTTCCCGTGTTTTTCATTGTGTATGGAAGTTATTTTCACGAGTGATGCGGTGTATCGCATCCACAATGTTTTTCAGACTCATAAAACACATTGATCTAGAATTTATTTATTTTTATCTATATGTGAAGCAGAATTAAGATTAAATTTATTGTGATTGGTCACATGTTTATTCTTGTGATTTGACCATTTTCTAAACAAGAAGTAGTTTTTACTGATGCAATATTTACGTTGTCATATTGCATCTCCATATTGAATTCTTTTAAAGCAAACAGATATCAGATCAGTCACATGGTTTGGCCGCCATCGTGTATTTTACGAAAAATGGCCACCATGTTTTGCAATTGTTTCTCATATACTAAGCATGGCCGAAGCTTTATACGTGAAAAATAAAATAATTTTGACGTGTCACGTGGTTTGTTCAATATCATAGATTTTTTGCCAGAAATACAAAACAATTGGAATTTCTCATGGGTGTTTTAACAAATCGACTTGATGGTTTGTGTATAACCTTGAGCATGGCCGTAGCGCCTCACGCATCCTCCAAATATAACGGTATGTTGGTGCCAGAAAAGTGACCAATATTTAGGTAATGAAACTGTCAACTTGACTGAACATTCAAGAGTTGAACTGTGCAAAATTTTCGTAATTTGCCTCTCCCTCGTTGCAACATATTCATTTTTTCAGCTAGTAATGCCTTTATTGCATCGTTTTGGTGATCGATGCGTTTTTTTTCCTTAAAAAACTGTGTGGTCTGTTCAGCTTAGGTCGCCAATATGGCGAATATGCGTCTTACGATGCAAACAATATAATTTTGATCAGACACAACGTTTGGCCGCCATCTTGTACTTCATTTTTTCAACTTTGCATTAATGTCCCAAACTTCTTATGCAAATCTAATTCTTACACCGACTACATACTGTGCACATGGGTGAATAAGTTTGAATAACTAAACAACTGTTAGATGTACTTATGTTCATGTGTATGTGTTGACCCTTTCAATACTGTTCACAGACTTAATCTATACTTGTGCACATTTATTTTATTTTCGAATTGTAGATACATAACTGTACATAGTATAACGCATAAAGAGTACGAATCTTGAAGTACTGTTTACACTCAGTTTCGAGATGATCTTCCCCATGCACTTGCACATGTATGAAGTTTATTTGGAAATGGCACAAGTGGTATTAACATTTGTCACGTAGTACGCTCTAATAAAATATAAAAACTTGATTATTAGCTGCAAATATTATGTGCCTCAATTCGTTTAGAGTTGCAAAAAGGTGATGTTTATCAAAAATGTGTCTTCATTTATTCTAGTGCTCATCCATACATATATTTTAATCAAGATGGTGCTTCCATTACTTTCCATGGGATGGTTATCTACCTCGATGGTTATCTTCGAAACTCAACAGATAATAAACTTATACCTGGTTTACAGATGGACTTTTACCTACGCCATGGTCTTATTCTCAATGGTGTTGATGTGTTGCAAGACTTTGACTATCTATCGAGGTATGAATACATATTTAACATAAGTATACTGCAGTAAAACCTCTGCTTGAACTGTTATTATTTTATTTGCAAAATGTAAAAAAATAATGTTCGGTATGCGTAGTATGTGTAATTTAAACTTGATTGTTGGTTTTTGCACAAACAGACCAAATTCCACACGTATTTAATGCTGTGTCATGTCATTGAACAGCAAATCAATTTTATTTACGCTGAACGTCTAGCTGAAAAACTGGGTCCTTAAATTAAGCAATAGTTCTTGGAAAGTTTTAAAAGTTGCAACGTAATAGTAATCAAAATAAGCATAGTGAAATATCTGTATGTCGAGGCTACATCCGTTAGTTAGACAGAAGTTACTTATTTTCACATATGTACTTTGTTTGTTTTAGTAAGGCATGTGTATTAAAATTTATACTATCATCAGGTGTAAGAAGATTGAACACATCTACACTGTGATGGGCATGGAGGTAAAGAGTGACCCAGATCCAACGTATGAACTAACTACTGACAATGTATCAAAACTGCTGGATATTCTCATGAATTTCAGGTAAATTTCCAAAAACGGATCAATCACTATTTTTTCAGTAAATTATTCATGCACCAAGAGAAAATTGCACTTAGCTAGACGGACCTGAAGTCTGTTGAGGTAAAAACATTATCATGTGTTAAGAGAATAAACTGAGACACAATAAAATTAACTGAAATGTATGGAAAAGTAATTGAAAATCACTAGTGACTTGACAATCCAAATAGCTATTACAAATACTATGATGTACATTCAGGTTGTTTAGATTGCATTTAATATCCCATACATGATCGATTTGGACCATAAAAAAATCTGAAAATAATATATATTCTTACTAACCATTACAAATTTATGTGACGTCCAAAATGTTGGCGACGTAAAATATTTGAAAAGCTAACTTGTTTTTAACGCGGGAGCTATGGGTAATACAGCCCTTATAGGTCAGCCAGTGATCCTGTCATCAATGGGCCAACAATATTTATTACCGATGTGCCTTATATTAATATACAGACTGACACGCTAGGATGATAATTGTTTTTGTTTAATAAAGCTAATGCAAAATAAGTTATACTTCAAAAACCAATATGTGTTTGTATTATTATATTTAGTAAGGGGTAAATAGTAATGTGCAATTATTTTTTCTTCACCTAGTCCCATCGGCTCTTCAATCTTGGTAGTTGCTCATTCAAGGAATGCAAATAAAGCTAGAATTTATAGGGTTTGTTGAAAAAAGTCACTAAATCAAAATCAGGAAATATAATATTTGAATATGTCTGGTCATCAAGTCAATTATATATTTTATTTTATTTGAGGTGAGTGTAGTAATTTGCAGACTAACAGACATGTATTTGTTCCAGTTTAGCTTATCGTTGTGGGTAACTGTGATTATTTTTGTCTATGTGTGTCTGTTTCACCACTACACTCAAAGCCAATCATTAGATTGTTAATGACGCGTTATGATAATGTGCAGACCTGATAAGGTTTCAGTGGATATTGTTTTATAATTAATATGTGGTAGTGTTATATACTACCTGAAACACACAACAAAAGACGTTGTTAAATTTGGAAACAACACCTTATCTCCCTACTGCCAAATGAAATGTCATTAACTTCTGGCCAAAACCGTTGAGTCAATTGGCATATTTTTAATATTTAGACGTCAGGGCCCCTCATTACTAGATGTTAGCTATATATTTTCAAAACGGTAATTTATCTTCAAATACAAATATTTATTCTAGTAATTATCTGTGTTTATTTCATCCCATTAGATGTGACATACCTGTAGTCATAATGGGAGACACTGGTACTGGAAAAACAAGAATGGTCAAATTCCTCTGTAAGATGATGGCTGGAAGAAGTGATCAGTCAAACTTTCATATGGTGAAGGTATGTAATTATTATTAAATTACGCTTATAATAACTGTTGCCAATACTTATAATATTCAATAAAGCTTGGGCGGAAGTTGTAATATGATAAGTGAATGATTATTTGAAAAGGAGGTCCAGTGTCATATTCAAAAGTATTAGAAATTTGTTGTTTGTATTGGTCTATGCAGAACAGCGTTACAAAATTTAAGCATAAGCATTGTGACCTGAACCAAATACAAAATAAAAGGTCTTTTATTTCAATATCGCAGTGAAGTCACATATACGTTTTTTAATAATAAAACTGGTAGCCAATATGTTATTGATGCTTTATCCAAAACGTTTGTATATAAATCACTTAAATCACCGTGACCAATTATAGTTAGCATTTGGGAAAGACATTAAATACATAAATTTACAGATGAAATGATCAATCCGTTCAACAGTCATTTCAATCATTTTAACTATACTTTACTGCAGCTAAACTGTGGGACTGAAAGAACAAATATTATTCATATAACAAAGCAAACTGCACGTGTATTAGATACGGAATTCTATAGTTCAATGCATTTGGTACATTGTGTTCTGTCTTTCTTGAAATGTAACAATCATGGTTAAACTACAAAATCAGCTTACAAAGAAAAATGTTCATAATGGATACTTTGCATAATGGATATTCGTTTAACTTCAATATCTGATTATTTTTTAAACCTGTTGCTAATCCAAAATAGGAATATTATCTTCTATTAACAAAATTAGAACAACATTTAATTCATTAAAATAATTTGTATCGATGTGGATTTATATTAAGCATATTGTGTTCTATTTCTATTTGCAGATTCATGGAGGAACTACAAACGTTGACATTGAAAAAAAAGTCTGGAAAGCTTCCCAATCAGCAAAACATAATGAACACAAAATTAATGTCTTATTTTTCGATGAAGCAAATTCATGTGAAGCAGTTGGCTTGGTGGGAGAAATCTTAATAGACAGAACTGTGAGAGGAAAACCTATTGATACACCAAATTTAAAATTTGTTGCTGCATGTAATCCTTATAGAAAACATGGGGATGCTGCAATAAAACAATTGGAAACTGCGGGGTTGGGTTTCACAGTAGACTCGGCAAATGTGCAAGAAAAATTGGGTAAGTGACGACATAAATATATTCAAATTTATTAAACATTATGGTGTGTAACTCAATTATTAGTAGCTAGTTTATCTGACCAGGACATTAAACTTCATTGTTTACTACTTCTTGTCATTAAGGTCACGTGCCACTTCGACATCTCGTATATCGTGTCCACCCACTGCCTAAAAGTATGATGCCATTTATCTGGGACTTTGGACAACTGAATGCAGAGACAGAAAAAAAGTACATTAGAAGCTTGGTCAATAATAATGTAAGTACATTGGTATGGCAATAAAAATTGTTTTAATTCCTGAAAAAATACTTAGCATTAGGTACTTATATCAACTTTGTAACTGTTTCATTTAATTTTGAAGGAATACATTCGACATTTGAACAAAGTAACAAAGCAGCTGATTTGCAACGTTCTTGCTATGTCTCAAATGTACATGAAGCAACAAGAGGTATGTTACCAACAAGTACAAACTATTTTCCATTCTCTATACAGCTTCTCCATATATAGAATGTTCACTATATTATTTACGTATATTTGAATCTATTAATAGTCGTTCAAGTGATTACATAATTATTCATGTTTTTCTGATATCATGCATTTTAAGCTGACAAGAGGCGATATCATTTACTTTGCTTGGTCACCTTCATTTCTTTACCAAGGGTGTAAATAAATACGCTTATACTATAAATCAATATATTTGCCCTGGTCGTTATAGGAAGAATGCAAATTTGCCAGTTTGAGAGACATTAAACGAGTGATAGAAGTGTTTGTCTGGTTCCATCGAAAGTATGATCTTATTAAAAATGGAATGGACATCAAAGAGGCACAGCATGTTTGGCAGCATTCAATGGAACCAGAATCTCAGGTCCATGAGACTGTTGATCTCCAATCTGAGAGTGGTGATTCACTCTACGCTAACTGTGGCTCCATAGATGAAAACACGCTGATAAGTGGAAAGGTTAGAGTGGCAGAAAGTTCTGGGGGAATCATTTCGACAGTAAGTCATTACAAGATTTTCTTCTTTAGTGACACGAACAATCCTAAGAATATGTACTTTCTTATTTGCAAAAAAAATATTTTAAATAGTTATAAATATTCTGCGACTAATTTTGAATGTATGTACTTTTATGTAACATATTCTATTCTAATAATATGCAAGGTGTTTTATAAATGGTATATTTTTTATTATATTATACCAGTATATTGATGGTGTTAATCCATTGATTTGATTGGTCCTAACACAAAATTTGCA